AATTAGGAGGGAAGGAAAAGGAGAGTGCTTTACTTATTCAGTGAATCGACTCACAGGAAATGTCCTTCATTGGGAAATCTACTTTGTCCGCTGTCGACTTAGCTACTCCGGCTTTCGCTTGATGAGGGCTGGCATGCTCTATCATTTGCCACCCTGTACCTTTGGACCCATCTCCGTCTGTCTTGCTGAAAGTGAGTTTCGCGTGGATTGAACGTTGTGTCGGACGGATTAGCCCGGAGCGGGTCTTGGGTTACTTGGGAAACTTGGCTTTGGGAAACCAAAGCCTTTGGGAAACGTGCCTGTGATGGGTTCCTTTAAAGGGGCTGCGGGGCAACAGGCCTGGGAACGTGGCAACAGAATCTGAAGGAACGAAGGAAACAGAGAAATCGGCCCATATAAAGAAGCAGGGGGGGGTTCAGAGCACGCGCTGCAGGTCAAGTCAGGGGGCCGGCTACTGAGAAGAAATGAGAAAGGAGGCTGGGGCTCTGTGAATCGGTAGCGAAGATTAAGGAGTGCGCTTTTGGGGAAGCTGGGCAGAAATGCCGAGGAGGCAGGGCACCGAGGTCAAAGGGGACCTTCTCTAAGACCGAGGGGGACTGTGTCTTAATGGGCCTCGGAGCCCATTTGATTCACACCTGGATTCTCTCAGAGTGTGGGATGAGCTGAGCGGGCAAGCGAGAAGTGCGTACGTACGTACAACCCCAGACCCACAACACAGGGACAGGAGCCGGGCAGGAGGTGAGAGAGGACACGGAGGGGTGGAGTTACTCGCCCAAATTGAAGGTTTGATTTTTGCTTGATGACAAGGAGTCACTATAAAGAGAGGGTGGAATTTGCTAGATGGTAGATTTCCTAGCTTTTATTTATTTATTTAAAAAAAAAATTTTTTTTTTCAACGTTTATTTATTTTTGGGACAGAGAGAGACAAAGCATGAACGGGGGAGGGACAGAGAGAGAGGGAGACACAGAATCGGAAACAGGCTCCAGGCTCCGAGCCATCAGCCCAGAGCCCGACGCGGGGCTCGAACTCACGGACCGCGAGATCGTGACCTGGCTGAAGTCGGACGCTTAACCGACTGTGCCACCCAGGCGCCCCACCTAGCTTTTATTTTGATAGTAATTTTTATTCTGTAGCATTTGTGGTTTCTGCAAATACGAAGGACATTTTTTTTTTAACACAAGGCTTGTAAAAAGGAGAATAGTGGATGTAGTAGGTTTAAGAGGCAGTTACAAGTAGAACACACGCATGAGGAATAATGATTCTACTCTCTATTTATTGAGCACATACAACACGGCGAACATTGAACTAAGTCAGTCTTGGCCTCAGACTTCGGGAACGCTACCCTCTAGTGGGGGCAAAGGAACAGAAAAAGTAAACAAAACTTACACAAACACCGGCTCAATTTCAAAAGTGTGACAGACACACAGGGAAGCATGGGCTGCTTTACGGATCAAAACTGGGGAAATTTGGCTCAGGCAGGGAGGTCAGGGTAAGACTCTTGGGGAAGTGATAGCTGAGAAGGAGCCTGAAATATTAGTGGTATGGAAGAAGGTGAGGGGAGTAAAGGTCTGTGGCAGACCAGAGCGGGGCTACGGTAGCCACTGTGGCCAGAGTGCAGGGAGTAAGTGGAGAGTGGTCCAAGGTGCGCAGGGACCGTGGCGAATCGTATGGGCACCACGGAAGAGCTTCAGGGAGAGTTTTAAAGTCAACGTATAGGGGTGCGAAGTGGACGTGAGAAAGGCCGAAGGACTATGCGGGGTGAGTGTGACATGACCCGATTTTGAGATCACCTTGGCCGCTCTGTCACCTGGGGGCTGGTGCGGCGTGGATGGCAGGTTAGGTCAGCTGTAGAGTGGGAGATCTGGAGGCTGGGACTTGGAAGTTGTGTGCAGAGAGAAGAGTAGGTCAGTTGAAGAGATACTTAAGAGATAAAATCAACAGGATTTGGTGATGGATGGGACATGGAGGGCGAGGAAGGCTCTAAACACGAACCTGTGGTTTGGGGTTCATGAAACGGGTTGGATGAGGCAAGGTTCGGGGGGAGAGAGCATGAGTGCAGTTTCGGACACGTGGAGTTTGAGGTAGCCGTCAGACATCCAAAGGAGATGACCAAATAGGCAGGCCGACGTAAGGGGCTGAGCTGGGCAGAGAAATCTGACGTAGAGATTTAAATTTGGGAGGCTCCTGCACAAAATGGTGAAGGAGGAGGGGGTGTGGATGGCGTTGCGTAGGGAGGGATTACGAAAGAAGTGGTCAACATCTCAAAAGCTGCCGTATGTCAAGATGAGGCCAAACGTGTATGGTAGAGCGAAGGCACTGAATGCCTGGTGGAGGGCGCGGGGTATAATGAGAGGTGACGACATAGAGGCAGAACGTCTGAACCTCCCTTTGAGAAGCTGGACAAAAAAGGAGGCGAGAGAGGGTAGAAGCTGGAGGGAAGATAAGACTGGGGAAGTTACAAGCTTTATTAACTGAAATATTTTACTGAAATTGAACAGCTTTTAATGACCAGAAGCAAAAATTAAGCTTTGAGAATAAATAGACCGTGCGGAAGCACCAATGTTCATTAAATCATTTTTTTCTGTGTCTCTCCTTAATTGGTAATTGGTTTTCGGCCATGACACATTTGCTTGTTAATTGCTATACTTCCTATTTGATCATGCTTTTGTAATTCTCTCCGGACAACATGGCTGCAAAAGATCCAAAGGGAGACCTGAATTCCTCTCCATAAATCGCCCATGTTGAGGCAGAACAGCTGCAAGAAAGCTTTTCCAGAAGGCCTCAACCCCGTTTTAATTTTGTTCTTGAATGTGCATCCCAGGGAGAATGATACTCAAGAGAGAAGGACTTTGCAAGTTCCACGTCTCTCCCTTTCTATGCTCCTCTTCTAATCACAAGCAACTACCTTCTTCAACATATTGTACGTCTATATATATATACATATATATTGTATATGTATAAATATATATATATATATATTTTTTTTTTTGAGAGAGAGAGCAAGTAGGGGAGGGGCGGAGAGAGAGGGAGACAGAGAGTCCCAAGCAGGCTCTACACTGTCAGCGCAAAGCCCAACACGGGGCTTGAACTCACAAACCGTGAGATCATGACCTGAGCCCAAACCAAGAGTCGGACCCTTAACCGACTGAGCCACCCAGGCGCCCTTGTATTTTTAAAAATAATAATTTACCAAAGAAGGCGATGTGGGCTACTCTCTGGAGTGTATGGCATGCCCTTCAAGTTGACTTTGAAAGGTGATTAATTTCAGCAGTGGTTGTTCAGTTTCAAACGTTCAAATTAGATGTGCTTCAAAACTCTTATTAAAGGGAATATATTTTACACACCTGTCACTTGTGACAAGGGCTGATTCGAGTCAAAATTATGAAAGAGGTAACGCTAATCATTAGACCCGACACACTCTACTCTGTTGAATGAAAGAATCTTCTAATAACCTTTGAGTGGCCCTGTCTTAAGCACTCGGTAACTAATTCTCCACGAGTTCTGTGATTTCAGGATTGATGTAATTCAAACGTGGAAAGGACTTGAGAGCTAAGAGGCCCAGAGCCCTGAGGGGCTGCTGAGCCCTCAGGGAGAGAGAAGATAACGTCCCATGGGCTTCGGGCCACAAGTCCAGTACTATTATCCGTTATAGTCGGGGTTGGCAAATTGCACCATGGGCCAAATGCAGCCCTGTGCTTGTTTTTGTAAAGTTTTATTGGAACCCAGCCTCACCCATTCATTTACGTATCCTCTATGGCTGCTTTCACTCTATAGCTGCAGAGTTAAGAGGTTGCCACAGACATAGGTATGACCTGCGAACCCTAAAAAAACTCACTGACTTTCATAGAAAACGTGTTGAGGGGCGCCTGGGTGGCTCAGTCCGTTAAGCATCCAACTTCGGCTCAGGTCCCGTTTTCACATTTTGTGAGTTGGAGCCCCGTGTCAGGCTCTGCGCTGACAGCTCAGACCCCGGAACCTGCTTCCGATTCTGTGCCTCCCTCTCTCTCTGCCCCTCCCCTGCCCGTGCTCTGTCTCTCTCTCAAAATAAACACTGAAAAAAAAAGGCAAAAGAAAAGGTGCCGCGCCCCAGGTGTCTAGCACTTTCGAATCACTCGAAACAAAAGGACAGCGTGCTGGGCCACACTCTTGACCTTCTCAGCCCCAGTGTTTCAGAAGGGGATCCAGGAGTCAGCATTTCTAAAAAAGAAAAGGCAAGTTTCGTGCTCGGCCGGGTTAAGAATCAATCACCGCGTTACATCATACGGCCTCTGAAGCACTTTACCTCGAAAACACACTTCAGGTCGTAAGCGCATTTTTCACACGGGAGAGGGGACTGGGTAAAGCCTTCCGGGGCTTTGCTTCACAAACTGTGGCCAGGATCAGAATCGCCGGGAAGGCCTGTTAGAACTTACTGCTGCTCCCACTCGCGGAGATGCTGCCGAGGAGGTCAGGGCGTAGGGTTGGAGAATGGGCATCTCTAAGCAGCTCGCAGGTGGCACTGAGGCCGGGGACCCACGACCACTCGGCAGAGCCCGGGCTTCCATCGAAAGGGCTTGCACCTCTAACGGGAGAAGGTCAAGTCCTGGGGCCATGGGATGGGGTTGGGGATAGACTTAAGACTCGACATCAAGCCTTCTTGCGCTGGATCTCCACTCCTGTATGGATCTTATTGTGGTTTTGAAATTTCCTAGGGATTATTTTGAGGCTTGTAAAGGAACTGCATTTTGCACGGAGAGAAGCGGGATGCCGGACGGGAGAGTTTCGGGCAGGAAAAGGAGACACCGTATGTTGCAAAGGAGTTCAAAAAACCAGCAGAAGCTGAGTGTTTGTGGAAACCACGAATGCGAACACACAAAATGATGACAAGGCAACAGAGACAGGCGAGACAGAGGGCCTCGGAACCACAAAAATGATTTTATTTTGAACCAGAAAGCAACAGCAATGGAGAGTACAGTCCACTCTGCCTTTCCAAACTAAGCAGATCGCATCCAGATCTCTGTGACACCAGTCACCGGATTCCCGTTTGCGCAGGCCTGGACCGCCTTCCAGATTCCAGATTTTTATTAACGGTTTCGTAAATAGTGTTTAAACTGAAGGAGCCACGGCAGTGAAGCTTTTGCAGTGAAGCGTCCCCTTTTCTTTTCGAGAGATCAGGCATTGAATGTTTTGCCCGGATCGTTCTTGGCTGTGGGGGGGCTGCGCTGTGCACTGTGGGAAGCTGAGCGACATCCCTGGTCTCTACCCTCCAGATGCCAGCAGCGCCCTCTCCCGAGCTGGGGTAGCCAAAACTGACTCCAGACATTGCCAAATCGCCCCCTTGCTGAGAAGCACTATTTCAAAAACATCCTCCCGCTTCCTGCTTAACATTTCACACAGGTAGACCAGATCATCAACTTCCCAACACCAAAAGCACACGTAGGCGAGCGTACGTGCGTGTGTCTCTTCAGGCACCGCATACGTGCCTGGAGCCGAAGCCGAAGCCGAATCCCACGCTCGCTGGACGGTGCCGGTTCAGTTCCTTGGCAAGTTCAGGGTCAACATCTCAGTACCGTGATGAACCGCCCGTTCGTCATCAGGCCGTTCCCTCTTCTCCAGCTGAAATCATCGTCAATATTTGCAGTCAGTTTTTGAAGTCATTTTTTGTTTTTTTTCAAGCTGGAAAGAAAATCTCCACCCACGCCCGCTCTCCTCTTAATCCGTCTAGATTCCTCCTTGAATGACACGGCCAGCCACGTTTGACACCGGACGCAGGTTTCTTCATTTGTATCCACCAGGAAGAGAGGTACCATGTTCCTGAGTTCCGTTATGAGGACCGGCTACATAACGTTCGAGGCCCAGCGCAAAATGCAAATGCAGGCCCCTTATTCACAAATTATTAAGGATTTCAAGATGGTGACAGCACCTGTTCACACACCCACGACGTCAGACCCGGCGGCCTTGGTCAGCGCCGCATCAATTTGGTTGTATTAATTTATGGATCTCGAAAACAAAATACGGTGACCCCAGTCCACTTAAAGAATTGTACTGCAGCAAATGTTTATAGCATATATTTTTTTAGACTCTCAAAAAAAAAAAAATCCACATGGAAATCTTTTCTACATCATTACAGCAACGAAAGGAAACACTGTGGCCTTTCACCATATACATATTTTCCTGTAAATAGGACAACAGGGAAATAGTAACTGCTACTATCCACAAGGTTTTTAAGTTAGCAAAGAGTGAGACTTCCACAACCAAATTATAACATAATCCCTCTCGTCCTTATAAAAATAGCCAAAACATAAACTAAATGGCTTGCGGTGAAAATTTGAGTAGTAACTTCTTTATGTTGAAAAACATTATATTCACGGAAATATCGTCCTTGTAAAATGCTTTACATTAACATCATAAGGCAAACCGTAGCATCTATTGGCACCTGGCGACCATGATTTGAAAAACTCAGAAGCTGAGTTTTAGACCCTTTTATTTAAAACCTGTTGGTGTACAAAGTGCATTAAAATATCCATTATCCAGCTACCAAAACAGTATGTAAAAATTACAACCCTTTCAGTTTGTCCAGGAAGGCAAATACACATTGTTTTATGTTGTAAAAAAAAACCCAAAAACATCGTTTCCAGAGAATGATTAATTTTTTTCCATCGAGGTGTCCATCTGTTAGATGTGAAATTGTCCTAAGTAGCTATCAAAATATTCATCTGGGTATAAATAATATAGTAAATATATAAACTCTATCTGTTACGAAAAAGGAGAGTGTCTGCCAGTGAAGGGAACAGAAACACCCATGACGTGGCCCACGGGGTCCGGGCTCGCAGTCACATGACGTGATGCTGAAAACAGTGGGTCTGTGGACGGATTTCAGGGAGGCAATTGGTTGATTTGGTTAACAACGAAATCGCTAAGAAGCAATGCTTAAATTCATCAGTCTGTTCAGTCAAAATGGCCAACCCAGTAGTTCAGATCAATACATTAGCAAATGAAATGACTTACAGGTATCATGCCCTTCGTCAAGATAGAACCAATGCCAGATTCCTGGTCCGGGTCCAAGGACTGCTTAAGAAAGCCTTACTTCATGGACCATTCCATCTTACCGGATCAGCATGCCCAGAATCCCACCTGACAGCTTATTAGCTGGTTCTATTAGCAGGTTCCAGCGCGGCAATAGTTTGATTTTTTTTTGCGTGTTTTTCGTTTTTTGTTTTTTTGTTTTGTTTTGTTTTTTGTTTCACAACTCTATCGTAAACTATACTAGAACACAGAGGGTCCTCTACATCTTTCAAGATGTGTTTAATAAAAGTCTTTTTATAACTTTCGAGGCACGTGTACCAGTAAATAGTACTTTACGCAACGTCCCTTGTCATTACCAACTCATAAATATTAAGTGTTTTTCGGGTGAGTTATATTTGGACGTGGTAGAGACAGGGCCATGTGTTGATGTCCTGGAGAGCAAAGCCAATCCAAAGTGGTGCTGCCATTTGTAACAGAAAATGTTTATTCCCTCAGCCCCAGCAAGCGAAGAAAAATGATTCGGGGGAGAGGGAGATAGGACAGCTATTAAATGTAGTAAAGCAATGTCACAGGCCTAAAGACACTACTAAAAGGAAGAACGAAATAGACTTATGTCATGAAACCGAACCCTACTTCTGATCAAAGACAAATCAGCCTCAGACGTTTTGAAAAATCAGTAGGATTCAAAGAGACTATTCTCAATTGCAATCTCAATTCTTAATGTTCTCCCAGAATCCTGAATCCTGGGAAAGGTAAGGTCACACATGGCCAAAGGCTTCACAACCTTTCTTTCCAACATTACCCCACCAGCCATTGGAGGGTGATTAAAGACTGGGCCATGGTGGAGTCCAAGCTCCAGAGTCAATTCATTCAATTCTCTCTTTTGCTCTCCGTTCCGGTTGAGCCAGTAAGTTTTTGCCATCACAGTTAAAACACTTCGAAATAAACCACAGTAAGAAAGCCCGTTTACTGCCCTACTAGGTTCAAAGCTATGTTTTATTTTTAAGATACTTGCATATTCTATTATGCACTGTCAGGGCGACAGGACCTACAAGGGGATCGGTATGAGATATGAGGATGTGAGAAGGTGGATAAGCACACAAAACTACAAGAGTTTTTCCTCCAGCCCACAGAGCGTGACGAGACGAAGGCTGTTGTGAAGAGCCCGTACGCTTCTGGGCCTCTTAATGTGCAAAACCAAATACTTTCTAAGAGTTGGAATTCCGGTTATGTTTCTTTTATAAATAATCTATAATTTTTCCTGTAGATACAAAAAAAAATTGAAGAAATTATTAAAGCGTGTACTTAATACAAAAGACAGCAAAGGGGGAGAATCGCCTACTTTGAGTCCTATCCTAGCCGATTTCTGGACACTTTTTGGCGAGATTTAATCACACTCTGGAAGCCTGTGCTTTCTCGGTCCCTGAAATGGTGGCCACGGCCTTTTTTAATCCCCCAGCAATCAGCTCCACATGGCCCAGTGCTCACGGCAGCTGCTCTGTGCAGTCCAGATGGTCTGGGATCGGAAGGCCAGTTATAATGGTCAAACACTTGTTCCACAGCGTGAAGGTGGGGCACACAGGCTGCGAGAATGTGATGTCGAAGGTGTAGAGGTGGATGGAGTTCAAAGCATCGTAGAAAGCGATGGAACCATTATCATAGTCCAGCAGGATGCCGACGCGCCGGAGATGGGGGGCTGGCTCGATGGGGGTTTCCTTGCTGTTGTGTCTCACCACCCAGTTATTGTGACAGCGACACAGCGCCCAGGAAGCAGAGTTCTTGCCGATCCACTCGTGCTTTGGGGCCGATTTGTAAGCAAGGCCGATGGCATACCTGCACAAACAAAATGGTGACAGCGAGAACGGTGAGGCGTGGGGCACAGGTGCGCTGGATCCCTTCTACGGTTTTCCGGGGTCACGACAACCGGATTCATTCTTCAGCGAAAGCTTGGCAAGGACCCTGACACGGGTGTTCCTCATCTCCTTCCCTCCCACACATACAGTGGGTGGAAATGGGCTGCTATATTTACTCATATTCCTGTTTTTAGTTCCGACATTACATGAGAATTTGAACTTTGTGTTTTGCTGCCTTTCTATCTTTCTTTCCTTCCTTCCCTTCCCTTCCCTTTCCTTCCTTCCTTCCTTCCTTCCTTCCTTCCTTCCTTCCTTCCTTCCCTTTTTTCCTTCTTTCTTTCCACTCATCAAGACCCACACAGTGAATTCTCTAGACCAGCGCTGTCCAATAGAACTTTCTGCAATGAGCGAAAGGTTCTGCTCTGTTCCGTATGGTAGCCACGAGCCACATGTGGCTATTGGGCACTTGAACTGTGGCTGCTGAGACCGGGGAACCAAACTTTAAATTTAGTTAGTTTTAATGAAGTTAAATTATGCACATAACTGTATGTGGCTCAGGGCTACCATACTGGACGGCACAACCCTAGATTTCTCCTTTTGACCTACTCTGAATTTTTCAACCGGCACCGTGTCTGTCATTTGCCATGACTTCAAGCACACTTTGCAAAAGGCAAGTGTGGAGAGTGATTTTCATTTGCAGGGAAAGTTCCTCGTCCTCTCCTAGCCATTTTCCTCATCTATTCACACAGGGTCAATGACAGCGTCTATCTCGGATGGTTATTTTGAGGAGTTAAGGAAAGAACGCATGTAAAATCCTGGGCACGAGGCCTGGCAAGGAATCTTCAGTAACTGCTGTTTTATTCTTTTTGCCCAATAACACATTACTAATAAGCATCAGAATCAGTACTTGAACCTCAGATGACTCAAAAGGCCCCAAACTTAAACAACACTCTCCCATACCTTCCCTCACCAGAAATTATGTGATTCATCATTGCCAAGAGCCCTTCTAATTAATTTCCTACTACATTTAAAACAATTCTGAATGTCTTTGAGAGACAGATACCCTGGTTATTCTAAACATACTCGTGGGGCGCCTGGGTGGCTCAGTTGGCTAAGCATCCGACTCTTGATTTCAGCTTGGGTCATGATCTCACGGTTTGTGAGTTTGAGCCCCGAGTCGGGCTCTTGGCTGACAGTGTGGAACCTGCTTGGGATTCTCTCTCCCCTCTCCCTTCCCCCTCTTGCGTGCTCACTCTCTCTCAAAATAAAGCTTACAAATAAATAAATGTACTCTCAACCGCTCAAAAGAAGTTGAGAATTCTTTCTACAATGGTCTAAGCTCCCTAATCTCTTTTTACCCTGCTGAGGTATGCCTCCATTAACATTTGCAATATTTCAGACATTAAGATAAGCAAAACTCATCACTCTTAAGAAAGAATAAATGATTCAGAGCCCAACTTTTAATATGTTGTAGCAGAAGCCAGCCTAAGTGGATATTGACATATGGTACCTTACCCAGGGCAGACAGAAAAAAACTTCATTGGTCTTTGATAAAACGACATTCTTTTAAAAATCACATGTTGGATTTCAAATACAATCACTTTAAGAGTGGTGTGTTAAAAAGCAATGAATGTAACATGCTATCACTGAATTAAAAAAGAGGATGGAATTGAAAATCAGTAAAGGCCAGTGTAGCAGCCTGTCTGCCATCACCTTGGCCTCCTCTCTTCCTTCTTGCCAATCCTGTTCTGCATCTCAGGGTGAATCCGGGGACTGTATCTCCCAGAATCCCTTTTCAAGTGGGAGTCTGGGTCGCGTCCTGCCACCGTGATGGCTTTGCAGAAGAGCTGGAAGTTCTAAGAGGTGGGGAAATGCCCTTTTCCAGACAACAGACAGCAGAGGTGAGGTTTGCGGGGGCTTCCGGCAAACTCCAGAACTTACCAGGGGGGGTTCTGGTAAGCCGCTGGCTCCCCTCCTCCGTGGGGCTCCTCGACCGACTTTTGTTTTTCTACTGAACCCTACCTACCTGAGGCACGCTGGAAAGGTTTTTGTTTTGTTTTTGAGTATTTTCCCCAGAGACCTTCTCTATGCCCCAGCAGACGCCGTTTCTGTTTTTCAGATAACCCAGAACCTGCGTTTGCATCACAAAATAGCCATGTCTGTATTGCTTCCTTCTTGTCGCCGGTCACCACCTTCATGTTTTATTAAAGAACTCTGCCGTTTATTTCCCAGCTGAGCCTTAACTGGACCCGCCGTGAAGTAGCCGCGGCAGGTATGACGGACTTCATTTAGCAAATGGGAAAACACGGAGGTTAAAATTAGGAGCAGAATCCAGAATCTCGCCCCTTCCCCCTCGACTTCTGGCCCAGTAATCCATGTACGAACCCATGTTTAGTTAAGACCATTTCATAAAACACCAAGTGCACATTAACAGCATTAGGGAGTGAGAAAATAACTCTGTGTATAGTCCATTAAGCAAAGGAAAATATCATTATATGATCATTAATCTGTAAAACTATGTACGTATTTCCATCGAGCTTGAAAGGTGCAGGCAGAAGGTAATGTTCCATTAAGTTACGCAGTGAGACTTGGAGAATTCAGAAAGTATAAAAATTACGTTTCTCAGAGCGATGTTAACATGCCTCATTGCAGGGATCATAACATACATGTTAATTGAAAGTCAGGACTGTATTTCACGAGAAAATATACGTGTTGGTTGTTAGCTGGTGCAAATCAAGGCGTCACAAGCGTTTGATCATACGGGTCACCCCTTCCTCTCTAACACCTCCCAGGAAATGTTAAACTACTTTCTACATGAGAATTTTTTCTGAAATTGACACAATCCAGTTTGTAATGATCCAAAGTGCGGCAATTAATTTTAGAATTTTCCCCCCCTCATGAGTTGGTTTTGACATCTGGAGGGTGTTTTCAAGGTAATACCGATCTGTGTTTATATAACTGAAGAGGTCTGGTGGAATTTCCCGCACCATTCGTCAATGGGAATGAGATCATAATGATCGGGTATCATTTATCATAAATAATTATTAATGGGGTTGTAATTATTTAGACACTGGATTCTGTCCCAGGTTAATACAGCACGTTAATTAACTAGAAATGTTTGCTCCTTTGCACCTGCAAAAATTCATTGTATTTTCCTTTGGGCTTTTATCTTGCCCCACTGCAGCTATAAATGCCAATCTGGCCCAGAGCCGAATAGGGAGGTTGCGGGGGAAGGGGATTTGTCCTCTATCCTCTGGCAGGATGTTGGAACAGGAAAATGTTCTGGGCAAAGAGAATCGTGGGGAATCACAACGGAAGAAAACCTATTTGCTTGGCCAATATAGGTACCATTTTGGGGAGAAAGGAGACACCCAAGCTTATGATTTCACTTTTTAGATTTCTGTCGACTTGTACGAACACTGCAAGGGACTTCGGACACAATGTGTCTTAGCATCCTTATCTCAAAAATAGCACCGTTACAATAGTCATCATTGCAGGTTATGCCCATTTGAGGTGTGTCTTTTTAAAGCAAGGTTGAAGCTCTCACTCGTCAAGCATACCATTGTAAGCCCTAGCGTAATTATAACGTTTCAAAAACACAAGCACGGTGGTTAAGAGCAGAAAGAGATCAGCAACCTACAACCCATGGGCCAAATCTGGCTCTCTGCTTGTTTTTAGAAATGAAGTTTTATTTGTGCCCTGCCACACCCATTCGTGGACATATGGTCCGTGGCTGTTTTCCCGCTACAACAGGAGAGTTGAGTTGTTGGGATAAAAATCATCTGGCCTGCCAAACCAGCAACACTGGCTCTTTAGCCCTTTACAGAAAAGCTTGTGAACCCTTGGCTAAGCGCTTGTACCCTGCAGACTTCCTAACCCTACCACCTCTGAGCTCTGTGACCTTGAGCCAATGGGCACGTGCCTCAGCCACCTCATCTGTAAAGTAGGAATAGCAGCACCTGCCTTTGTGGGGCTGTTAGGATGAACGGATGAGTTAACATCCGTAGAATGCTCAGACCAGCGCCTGGCACATATGCCAAATAAAAATAAAACAGCTGCCTTTTTGGGCAGTAGCGAACAGGTGTTTGTGAGACGGCCAGCCAGAGTAAGGGGGGGGGGGCAGTCTGTGGCTGTGGAATAGACAAGGTCAGCTTTGTGAGATGAACTAGGCAAGGTTAACCAATTCCAGCGTGGACACCGCACCCTGACTGGATCTAACGGACCTTTCGAAGGGATTTCCAGCCTATGATCACTACTTCACCCTCTCGGCTCCTGGCTATTTACAGTAATCGGCCCAGTCCAGAATCACCAAACATACAGGGCAACGGCAATTAGTTTTCTTTAAAGGTCAAAGAGTAGTGTTTTAGAGTAGGAATCAGCTAACGTTTCCGGAAAAGGGCCGCCGAGTTCGTATTTTCGGCTTTGTGGACCACAGGGTTCCATCTCAACTGCTCGACTCTGCTGTGTGGCTCAAAGGCAGCCACAGACAATGTGGAAAAGAATGGGCACGGATGTGTTCCCATTAGACTTTATTTACAAAAACAGGCACGGGGCCCCGGGGCTCTAGTCGGCTGACTCGCATGGGACAGGACTCGATCACCTTAGCTGCAATTCTCGGAGTAAATTAAAAAAAAAAAAATGTCCTTCCTGGCTGAATGTTAGATCAGATGACTGCTTTGCGGATACTCACCGCCTCCTCTCACCTCCATGGGAGGAATATACTTCCCTAGACCACTGGCTTTGGGTGTGGCTCTGAGACTGGCTTTGGCCAATCAGAAGTCAGCAGACGGTGACGTAAGCAGAGGCTCCTTGAGAAAGACATGGCCCTCGAGTCCAAAGAGGATGAATAGACACAAAGAATGGACCTAGATCCAACCTGCAGCTTAAAGCAAAGCCCGGCTGAGATTGGTCTTGACAGCTAACCCATGGATGTGGGTGGTTGGTGAGAGATAACAAACGATCATTTTGAAGCCACTGAGTTTCGGGGCGCTGGTTATGCAGCATTACCATAGCAACAACGGACTAAAAAGGCTTTTCTACCTATTATTCTTCAAGATGGGCTCTGGTATGGATGAATGCTCCGACACAGCACAGCCTAAGACGTGCCTTTTGTATAACGGGAGGACGATAGATAGAATTGCCTACCATGTGCTTCCACTTATGACCACCTCCCAGTAATGCCGACCGCTATCAATGAACACGTTTCCAGCGACACCATAGCTCCCTTGGCTGGTGAAGCGTTCAGGCGTGTGACTCTTTTTGGATGATGACTCATCACGTTCTACTGTCAAGTTATCGTGGGACACCTTCAGCTTCCGATGTGCAGATTTGGGGTCCAGTTTAAATGGTTGGCCTGGGAACGAGTTTGCGAAACACAAAGAGGAAGAAGAAAAGGACTGTTTATTTTGACACGACCAAGAATGTCTTTTCAGAATCAGATTTATTTTTTTTTAAACGTTTATTTATTTTTGAGACAGAGAGAGACAGAGCATGAACGGGGGAGGGTCAGAGAGAGAGAGAGAGGGAGACACAGAATCTGAAACAGGCTCCAGGCTCTGAGTCATCAGCACAGAGCCCGATGCGGGGCTCGAACTCACGGACCGCGAGATCATGACCTGAGCCGAAGTCAGACGCTCAACCGACTGAGCCACCCAGGCACCCCTTTCAGAATCAGATTTAAAAAGCACAGTAATATAGTGGAGATGAACACGTCCCTGCCTTCGTGGACTCCCTGTCCGTCAGTTCCGAGACAGGGATCCAGAGCTGTTACACCTAAGGACTCAACACTACCATGGGCAGGGCTCAACCACAGCTATCTTCAGGGGTCCCAGATGGCCCCAAGCAGCACAGGTACATACTGGCCAGTGTCCCAAAAGGAAGGAGAAAGTGAAGACTTCATTTTCAACCATTCCTATATTCAGTCCAGCTTAAAATGTGGCTCATGCTCAGCAGACTTCAGACAAGAAACCAAAGAAATCAAGATTGCAGATTTTGGCAGATCGAATATTCTATAGGCTTTACGTTATTCTGAAATTGTTGAAAATTAACCATTGTTCCCGTGAGCTCAGAATGGCTATAGAGATCTGTATTTCGGGGGCGCCTGGGTGGCTCAGTTGGTTAAGCATCCGACTTCGGCTCAGGTCATGATCTCAGTTTGTGAGATCGAGCCCCGCGTCGGGCTCTGTGTTGACAGCTCGGAGCCTGGAGCCTGCTTCGGATTCTGTGTCTCCTCTCTCTGTCTTCTCCCCTGCTTGTGCTCTCTCTCTCTCTCAAAAGTAAATAAATAAACCTTAACAAGAAAAAAATGTGTATTTTTCAGCCCACAAGGTCAGGGAAAAAAATGTGATCATAACACCTGGGTTTTCTACTCCTGAGTTGTGTGTGTGTGTGTATACATAATCAAATAAATATGAAATAAAAAATATACATTAAATAAGGCCCTCCCTACCTCTCTATTTCATTATTCACATTTGTGTTTTGGAGACTGAACCACTAGAAAATCTTGGCAGTCCCACCTGAACATCTTGTCATAGCCGTTGTTACTCCTTGGGATTTAACACTGCTTTGGAGGACCGCCTGCCATCCAACACTACATAGGGTACAAGCTTCCAAAGGTGGGAAGCGAGTTACGAGAGGACGCAAATACCATGATGCCCAAACTCCACAGCCACTGGTGCAGTTGGTAGGCCCGCTGGGAGACAGCCAGTGGAAAAGTTTGGGAAGTTGGCTGTGGCAATACATGATGCCGCTGAGAAACTGACACCGAGAGCCTGGGGGAAGGCGTGTTACGTCACGTGCGGGGAGGCCAGAGGATTTCCAGTCGCCACTCGGACACGAACATGATGCCGACACCCCTAAAATCCTTTTAGGTCAGGGCCAGCACATCTTTCTGGTAAGAGGCCGGATAGGTATTTTTAGCTCGGCTGGCCATGTGGTCTCTTCTGTGGCCGCTTAACAATGCTATTGCGGCACGAAAGCAGCCATAGACAAGAGGTAAAAGGACAGGCGTGGGTCGTGTGCCAATAAAACTTTATTTATAAAAACAGACAGCTTGGGGCGCCTGGGTGGCGCAGTCGGTTAAGCGTCCGACTTCAGCCAGGTCACGATCTCGCGGTCCGTGGCTTCGAGCCCCGCGTCGGGCTCTGGGCTGATGGCTCGGAGCCTGGAGCCCGTTTCCGATTCTGTGTCTCCCTCTCTCTCTGCCCCTCCCCCGTTCATGCTCTGTCTCTCTCTGTCCCAAAAATGAATAAAAAAACGTTGAAAAAAAATTAAAAAATAAAAATAAAAAAATAAAAAAATAAAAACAGACAGCCAAATTTGGCTGTAGTCTGGGCTGCAGTGTGCTGACCCGATTTAGATTTCTGTCCACATCACAGAAAAGGTTAAAGGGAGAGCTGAGAAGATCTTCAAGTGTTGATCAGGGCACGGACATTCTCAGAGGCTGTGAGACCTATTGGATTACCTGTGTCATTTACATTTCAGCTCGTCCTGTGAAATAAATATGCCCCCAGGAGTGATCACATCAGCAACTATTAGGGCTAAAGTATGAACTAAGGCAAGAAGAGCATGAAGATAGTTTTGCTTCAAATATTTCAACTTTTAAAGGTGGAAGACGGAATGTATGCAAAAATTCTCGCCAATGTGTTCTGGTTGCCCTTCTTCCAGTGAGAAATATCAGAATGTTATAGCCATCAGAGAGACTGGCCTCATGGGGCGCCTGGGTGGCTCAGTGGGTTAAGCGTCCGACTTCAGCTCAGGTCACGATCCCGCGGTTCACAAGCTCGAGCCCCGCATCGGGCTCTGTGCCGACAGCTCGGAACCTGGAGCCTGCTTCGGATTCTGTGTCTCCCTCTGTCTCTGCCCCTCCCCCTCCCTCTAAAAAATAAATAAACATTAAAAAAAAAAAAAGAAAGATTGGCCTCATAATGGTGAGACGCGTCCTGTCTCGTCTCAGCTCACACCCTCACCTACACATGCACGGAGCGGGATCACGCCAGCGGAGGTCAGGCCCAACCCCTGCCCCCTCAGTGCGCAAATTCCACCTGTGCCTCAGCTGTGTTTCTCACACAAACCCTCGCCTGCTCTGTCCAAGTCAGAGGCTTCTGCTTTCATGAGGACACATCAGTGCAAGGAACAAATTAATCACTTACTTTACTGAAGAATTCAATTCACTGTAATATTTGCACACATAGGAGTTTGGCAAACCACAGCCTGCAGGCCAAATCCAGCACACTGCCTGTGTCTGTCAATAAAGTTTTATTGAAACATAGCCACGCCCATTCATTTATGTGTAATCTGTGGCTGCTTTTGCACTACAACGGCAGAGCTGGATATGAGCGGATGGTGACGGAGACCATCTGACCTGCGCAGCCCCAGATATTTACTATTTGGCACGTTGTAGAAAAAGTCTGCCAACTCCTCGCGTATACTTGATAACATCTGTTCAATGACTGCATGTCTAGAAATAGAAGATGACATTATCTATAGTCTACATGAAATGAATCCATTATCTTTAACATTTAATATTTGAATCTGATGGAGCACAAACAGGATGTCTCCAAGATACAGAATTAACCTCGGTGTATGTATTTACTCATTTTTTCCCCCTAATTAATCTCTAAAAACATCTCCTCCTTTACCAGCGGAAACACTGAGAGGAGAAAGGAGCCCAGTGTTTAAGAGCATGTGTCTTAAACACCTATGTCTGGAGGAAAACAGACGTATTTGACCACTGAAATCAAGGCCTTGGGTTAAGTGAGGGTTCCTCTTGAAAAGCAGTTAACTATTCCGTTGACCAGCTGAGAACCTTATAACACGGTGCCGGACCGACACGCTCCAATTTGCTTTCTCTCGGGAGGTCCCGGGCAAAGAAACTCCGTGTTACGGAACATATTTCTAGATCAAAAATAGTCAAGAGAAAAGAGAGGATAAAACAAAACACATGTGGGCAGAGACAGAGAGGGAGACGACGGTGTTACCAGACACATGTATCGGCCAGATCTCTCTTTGTTGTGTCCTGTGTGGTGTGGGATGTTTCGCATCGGCCCCGGCCTCTAACGACTAGATATCAGTAGCATCCGCCTCAGTTGTAACAACCCAAAATGTCTCCGGACATTGTTCAATATCCCTGGGGTGGGCAGAATCGCGTCTAAGAATCACAGACCTAGCTAGACAGATTCTGTTCATGTGCTCTTCGGCTATGGAAAGCGATACTACAGGGGCGCCTGGGCGGCTCAGTCGGTTGAGCGTCCGGCTTCGGCTCAGATCATGAGTTCACAGTTCGTGGGTTCGAGCCCCGCGTCCGGCTCTGTGCGGACAGCTCGGAGCCTGGAGCCCGCTTCGGATTCTGTGTCTCCCCCTCTCTCCGCCCGACCCCCACTTGCGCTCTGTCTCTGTCTCTGTCAAACATAAATAAACATTAAAACAAAAGTTTTTTTTTTTTTTTTTTTTTTTTAAAAATGAGCAGTCTGAAGAGCAGAGAGGTGGATGGACTCACAGCCCTTAAGGGTCAAGTCAGTTTTGGAACCCGTTAGCTCTTGACTTGCTTCTTGAGGCCGTCGGCGATGCCCGAGGCAGAGAAAAGGAACAGAAAGGGGGGACCGAGGCAGCTGAGAGGAGAGCAGGAGGGAGGCGACACTTACTGTTTGTCTTCAACTTCCCAGGCTCGCTGCTGCGGCTGCCCGCCTGGTTGATGGCCTTGACGATGAAGATGTACTTGGTGCCGCTCTGCAGACCGTGAACGGTGTAGTGGTTCTGCTTGATGTTGGGCACGATCATCCAGCTGTCGGCAGAGTTACACAGACCTGCAAAACCGAGCAGAACACGGTGCGGTGCTTTGGCTCAAGCGTGGGGCGACGTCTGCGCGACTCTGAGTCTGTGTAATTGGGGGTTACGTGAACCACAAGTGGGGTGCTTGGCCACTTCTGAGAGAGACCCCTAGTATGTTCCAGTGCTCAGTCTCCTGCCTACGGTAGGTGATCAACCTGTATTTGTTATTATATATTCCTATCATGTGCTCTAAATGGAAAAACCAATTACAACTATTATCTTGCGGGGCGCCTGGGTGGCTCAGGTGGTTGAGCGTCTGACTCTCGGTTTCGGCTCAGGTCATGATCTCACGGCTTCGTGGGTTCGAGCCCCTCATCGGGCTCTGTGCTGGTGGTGTGGAGCCTGCTTGGAATTCTCTCTCTCTCTCTCTCTCTCTCTGTCTCTCTCTCTTGCTCTCTCACTCTGCCCTTTCCCCACTCATGCTGTGTCTGTCTCTCTCAAAATAAATAGACCTTAAAAAAGTATTGGGGCGCCTGGGTGGCGCAGTCGGTTAAGCGTCCGACTTCAGCCAGGTCACGATCTCGCGGTCCGTGAGTTCGAGCCCCGCGTCAGGCTCTGGGCTGACGGCTCAGAGCCTGGAGCCTGTTTCCGATTCTGTGTCTCCCTCTCTCTCTGCCCCTCCCCCATTCATGCTCTCTCTCTGTCCCAAAAAATAAATAAACGTTGAAAAAAAAATTAAAAAAAAAAGTATTAAAAATTATTATAACATAGGGGCGCCTGGGTGGCTCAGTCGGTTAAGCGTCCGACTTCAGCTCAGGTCACGATCTCGCGGTCCGTGGGTTCGAGCCCCGCGTCGGGCTCTGGGCTGACGGCTCAATTAAAAAAAATAAAAATAAAAAAAATTATTATAACACAAATTACGTTCGGTGTAAAGAGCAGCAAAGGCACTTCTGTCTGGTGTCTTGTGCACGTGTGTGTGTGCGACGTGTTGTTAGGGGCCGTGGTGATGTAAAGAAAGCGGCGGGTTCCCGCTGGGTCCGTTCTCTGCACCCTCACCCCACACTCTCGTTACGGTAACCCTTAAAATTTGCACCTCGTCAATCGTGAGACTCAGGAAAGTGAGAAGAGACCTGAATCACGGATAAGAAGCTGACCGTGCTAACGTACACGTAGTAGATGGCATTTTTGCCTCTAATTCCTCACCCTGGCCCGCATCCAGGCCTAAGTGGCTTCACACTGGCTCGCTCCCCAGATGGGATATACCGCCCTACGACACGGCCTTCGATTCGGCCGTGTGATTGGCTGCAAGGGCAGGCATTACAGGGCCTTGAGACTTTGTGTTGAGACCTTGTGCCTCTGCCTTTGCCACGGGGAGAACATTCCCCAGATAGCCTGCTCATCGCAGCAGGAGGAGAGATCTAGGTCACAGCTCTACAGGCAGCCGGTGCCTGAGGGAGGCCAGCAGGGCCTGGCCCAGCTGCTGACAGGGGAGCTAGGAAAATGATCATCGGGGCTGTTTGCGTTGCAGACTTAGTGTGGCCGTAATGAATCAAGTCAGGAGCCTACGAGGGTTCCCTACGAGAACCCCGAAGCAGGCAGCTGAGGGCCCAGTGTGGCTCTTAGAAGCGCAGGAACGGGGAGTTTTGACCAGCCGCATTCCCTGGCACGGCTGGTTTCAGAGTAGAGTTCCGGCTGCATTCTGCAGGATGTGGGTTGGGGGGCAGGCTGAGGATTTATGATGCTTGGAAGAACATGGAGGGAAAAGGAAGCCTGTTTTGTTTTGCAGCTGGCTGATGCTGAAAACATCTCTTTGGTATTGGGCCCAACTCTCCTCTCTCCACCCATCAATCTCCATCCACTCTGAGAGAACATTTTCCCAGCACCCCCC